AGTATTGATGAGACTCGGGGTTTTAAACGAAGTTACAGCCGATATCTAGGGTTTGCGAGGGTGGGGAGTAGTACAGGGGGTGTGATAGGGGAACCCATGGCAGGTTCGTTAGGGTTTAAGTAGGGGTCTTTTGAGATTCTCAAGAGCTCAGGATTTGTGGTTTAGAACTTTGCCTTCAGACTTTCGCCACAAGGGCTCAGGGTGTAGACCCTAAACAGAACCCTTACCCAGGCCAACTTGAACCCTACACCCTGGACCCTTGAGCCCCAATTCCTGTTTTTCAAAGGGGCGCTGCAGATTTGCGATTTGGCTGTGATTCCTAGCCCTAATGTAAAAGACTGAATAACTCCTAATGTAAAAGACTGAATAACTCCCAGACCAGCCTGAGCCCTAAACCCTAAATCTGGACTACCAGTAGACAAGACCTCTGACATTACTGCCAAAATCGCAAAGCTGGGAGAACTTTGGCGCCGGAGTACCATAACTCTGGGTTCTAAGGGGCTATGGGACGGATGGATGAGCCGCCTGGAGAATATGTTCTCACTTCGGCTTTCAGTGTTTGGGCGTCTGGTGTTAAGTTTAGGGTTCCAGAGTTTTGCTCATTACTTTTTCAAGCCCTTAGCCATCGACAGCAGTTTACAGAACCAATAAGATGATGTTGGGTGCACTGTTTAGGGTGTAAAGGGTCAATTCGCTCTATAGCTAGTCCTTACAACCCCTGACATGCAGCTGTGCATATTCCCAAGTCAAGGCCCGCCCCGAATCATCCCAAACCTAGGTAGAGAAAACCCCGGTGAAAACCACGTATCACCCAGTAGTCTCTTTTATGATATAGCGGCGAGGTTTTTCATTTTAGCTAGTTCTCGTGTTTCACAACAACCCTGCCGAGTCCTAGACACTAGGAGGGGAAGTGCCTATACTAACCCAGCTATCCAGTCCCTAAAACTTAATACCTGGTCCTAAATCCTAAGCCTAAATCAGGAACCCCTGCCCCAAAACCAAGAGTCCTCAACCCTAAGCTCTAAACCCTGCAGTTTTTCATGACCTTCGCCTGCAAGCCTAAACCCCAAACCCTCAACCCCAAACCTCAAACCCTCAACCCCAAACCCTGAGCCCAAAGCTCTGGGAGGCAGTGCTTGGCTTGGTCCTGATTGGACTAGCCTCGGGCTTTTCTGTGCTGGCGCAGACGCCGGGCTTGGAGAATTTTAGGGTTAAGGGCGTTTAGGGGTTTAGGGTTTGGGGTTTAGGGTTTAGGGGGTCAGATGTTAGGGGGTTTGCATTTGGGGTTTTAGGGTTTTGGGGTTGGTCCTTTGAGGCTTTGGGGGTTCGTGGTGGGTGTAGGGTTTGTGGATTTTAGGGTGTGGCGTGTCAGGGTGATGGACTTAGGGTTTAGGGCCTGGGGTGTTGGTCAATGGCGTGTTTGGCCTTCGGGGCTCGGGTTAAAGAGAGAGTGGGGGAGTGGATTCCCGTAATATTTCTCGAAATAATTCCTAAACCCTCCATCCTAGACCCGAAACATTAAACCCAACTTCTTTATGAACCGCACTAGCTAGTTCACATGTTCAGCCCGTGACCATGTCTCTCCACCTTAAGCGCCAGTAAGTAGAGTTCAGGGTTTAACAAGTCCATTGCAAAAGAGTTGTTGGGCTTGAGTGTTGGGTCTGGCGTGGGGTGGAAGAGAAATTCCGGGTGTGCAGTGTTGAGTTCTGGACTCAATTTTCCCTGTGGATGGTCAGAAGAAGGAAGTGCTGGTTTAGGGTCAAAGGCTTGGTACTAGGGGTCAGGGGTTATTGGGCTGTGGGGTTCGGGTTAAAGGGAGGTCTGGTACAGCTTCTTGTGAAGTTCAATAATTAACCCGTTTCGGGTGACTAGCTCAAGCTTGTCATGCTTGATTCTGGACATGTCAGCTTCAGTGTAATGTAGACCCCTGGTGACTAAACCCCAGCCTTTTGAGTGCCTTCATAGTAGGATCTCTATTACAACCCCCCATTAAGGAGAGGTGCTTCATTAACCAGACATCCATGTTCTGTTGAGCGACCCTTTGGGTGTTCTATGGTTTAGGGTTGAGGATTGAGGGTTTAAGGGAGGGGCAGGGAAAAAGATGGCAGCCTTTGTTGCTTGAACCCAAGCCTTGCAGTTCAGTCAAAAAAGCCTGAGCTGCCCAAGTTTTGCGGCTTTAGCGATCCACACAGTGTGCATTTAAACAGTTTAGGTCATGGCGCAGCAAGTTTCAGAAACAGGTGTAGAAGTAGGAATAGATGCATCCAAAAGAAGGGTGATCAAGTTCTTTGCTAGGGGTGTGCAGGTGTTTCCTTGGCATTACCTATGCCCACATGCCCTACCTTTTTAGGATACCTGACGTTCTGTCTAGTATCTATAGTCCCCCTTAAGTAGATAGAATATGGGGTATATGGGGATCTTATTATAGTATACCCAAAGCCATATTCTATCTACTTAAGGGGGACTATATGTAGAAAAACAAGATTCCCTAAAACAAAGAACAGCTTGGTGCAAACAAATCATGTCCTAGTCGTGCCTGCCAGCACAGAGGCAGAGCTGAGGTTTTCAGACGTTTTGATGGGTCTATAGTCCCCCTTAAGTAGATAGAATATGGCTTTGGGAATATTAAAATATGATCCCCATATATCCCATATTCTATGTACTTGAGGGGGACTATATAGTCGGGATATAAACCATGCCATGGAAACCAGGGGGGTGATCCGGTACAGGGCTAAGGGTTTAGTGTTTACTTGATGGTTGTTAGCACAACATTGAGACTCCGAAAGGGTGGGCTTCCAAAGCAATCCATCTCCCGATTCTCTATCCAACGTTTTCTGCTAGCCGAAGCAAAGGGCACTGGGTTTTCTTGTGCACAAACTTGAAAAGTCACACCCCTTAAGCCCTAGACCTGAAACCCTAAGGTCAAGGGCTGTACAAGTACCCTCAAGCATTTGCAGAATGCCTAACATTATCAGAACGACAGCGCTGGACAAATTATAGCGAGCTCAAAAGAGCGCACCCCTTAATTGTAGTTACTATTCGGAATATGCGCAAGAGGGCCCTAATCCATGGTCATGAGTTCTTCAATACGCCCAGATTGCAAACGACCTCAATCATGGGACATGCGCGGTTTCAGGGTTTAGATGTTAGGGTTTAGGGCGGTTGAGCATATTTTAGCTGTAATCTTGTTTTGGTGGGTGGAGGAAATCGTGCACCACTTAGGATCTTCAGTTATTGGGGTAGAGGATATATTGAGTATTGCCAGATTTGCACCATCCACAGGTTGCACCCAAACCTTATACGGAAATTGGCTTAGGGCTCAGAGTTTGAGGGTATAGTTGAAAACCTAAACCCTAAAACCCTAAAACTCTACATCCTAGCCCTAAATCCCTAAGCCCTAAAACCCTAACCCTAAATCCCTAAACCTTAAGTCCCTAAACCCGCAAAAAAACCTAATAACGCCCAGGAACTCGCTGTTCACCTACCTGCAGCTTTGGCCTGGCAAGAAGATTTAGAGGCATAGGGATGTAGGGACGACTTGAGGGGATCAACATCTTGATTTAGGGCTTTAGGGTTTGGGTCTCAAGGCATGCACTCGAATCAATAAATGGCCATGAACACCTTCGATTTCTCGAAGGTTGGGGCGACTGAGTTTCCAGAACCCACTTTTTGCTGAGGTTATCCACTCTGATTCGCTCAAAGTGTGCAGCATGCAGGGTCCGATTAGATTCCTATGTTCCCAGTCTAGCACCGTTGGTGGGTGCGGGTAGATCTTGAGTTGTAGGGAATTTGGGATAAGGGTTGAGGGTCCAACCAGGACGGGCTTCGTGGTGGCTTTCAAGCCCCAGAGACAACAATTGCCATTTTGCTTGTCTCTCATGCGCTCCGACCCCCCAAAAGTAAATGGTTCCCTGGGTCAGAGTTTGCCCGGGGCTTTATGGTCATTCATAGAAACTTGTTGGAAGACAAAATGTACATTTGCCTTTTGCTTCAGCCATTTCCCCTTACAGTACCCCTTACCACAAGAAGTAGCAGGAGTTCTATTCGCCCCTTGGTAAAGCCCCTTTAAGGACAGTTACCGTAAGGACCCTAAACTTTTGCATGGTACTTTCATTATACTACTACTAGTATTATATTATAACTGTCACTATCCCAAGAAGCGTTTTCAAGTGGATTGAGATGTCGAGTCCAGGTTGAAGTCACTGCCTTTCAATGAACCCAGAACACATGTACTCTGAATATCCCCATGTTCTGCTGATAAAAAAGGGGCTTTGTGAATGGTGCATTATTTGTTTCAGGGACGTTCCACTTGCAGCTCTGTTGAAAGGCGGCTTCTAGTTTTCAATCGTTGCGCACTGACCCAGATGTGGAGTTCTCAGTCAGGGATCCATTGGGTGACTGTTTTTAGAGACTTTGTGGTGGGGGTGGGCTATTGGCCGCTGGATGTATTGCGTCGTAACCTACAACAACAAGGCCCTACGCGTATTTTTCGATGGTATGCAGGAGGGGGTCGAGGTGACCCATTGAACTCTGTGAGCACGACACGCAACCCAGTAAAACAACAAGACCTCATTACCATCATTGTTTTTGCGCATCTCTCCATTATTGCTTTCGTTACTTCTGAAAAACCTTGCTCGTTTGAACTTTTCTTTTCATGCTTGCAATCACTATTCAAGCCAAGGCAAGAATGCCTTTGCATGATCTTGCGCAAGAAGGCGTTCGCCTCAATTGTTCGCCACACGTCTGCAAGGAGGATGTGGGAGCAGTTGTGATCAGGGTACTGGTGGCCTCACAGGTCCTCCTATTATTCCTCTATTTGTATTTCTAACTCAGAACATCACAAATGACAGACCAGTACTTCAATTTCAGTACATCACGAATGACAGGGAGTCATTCGGCAACTTGATACCCTATGCTTCTATAAGTCTCACATAGACAAGATCATTTCCAGTGGTGGAGGGCTGCCTTCAACTAAAATCTGGATCCAACTACATGCCGAGGAATGGACATGGCCTTCTTCGATGCACCGGAGAACCAGACGGCGAGCGTTCTGGTGTCTTTGGAAAGGCGCTCATTTGGGGTCTAGGGCCCCTACCGAAGCAAGGATCTTGACCCTGATTAGCCCGAGGCCCCAAGCAGAAGTACTTGTGGACGTTCGTGAAACTAACTGGGTACTATCCGATAAACAGGGGCCCCCTTTTATACAACCACATGTGCTACAACCCTATTTATAGGAACCTTTAAGACGCACCTCAAGAAGCGGGGACCCCTACTCCTGGGAAGCCCCGCAAAGATTCTAAGGTCCTGACCATGGCCCCTTCCGTTTGCCCCCAGATCCTAACTACGGGCCAAAAAAGGTATGTGAGCTGTAGTCAAAACTCCATAAAAGGGGGTTATATAAGGGGTTCTATAGGGGACTATTTTGGGGGATATCAAGGGGGATACGAGAGGTTTAGACTACAGCTCATATGAAGGCCTATGTGTGAAGCCTTGTGACAGGAAGTTCTAGGAAGCCCCCCCGGCCCCTAAGGGTTTAGGGTTTAGGGGGCGCGCGTAAATTGGTCATCTGTTTAAGGGCCGATAATGACTCCCCATACCCATTGTGTACTTCCTTGTTGTAGGGAGCATGACGCATGAAATGGACAATGTTTCCTTAGCTCGATGGTGATGGACTATATACCAGAAACCCAAACCCTTTCCATCCTTATCTCCTATAGAATCCCTGTAAGGCCTGGTAAGGTTTGGGTACCCCAGTAGTACCCTCTGTCTCTTTTTCGTTCGGGGTCTAGGGCTTCAGGATTTCAGGCCATTTAGGTTTAGGCAAAAAGGGGTTTTCTGGTCTGCTTGGTTGGTCATGGGGATTCCGCAAGTATACTTATAACCCCCATAGCCCATAGAATAACCGAATTATCCCCACCATTAACCTACTCACTCAGTTTCCGTGGCCCTCCAAGTATACCATACACTTAGACTCTTCCCTGCCCTTCAGTATCATGCAACCCCATCTGGGTGCCAATGTAGAACTCCACCCCAAAATGGCCTTATGTTTAGAAGGACAGTTGCGTTTATGGGGTCGTTCTGTTGCTATGACAGTATGATAGTCTCACGGACACTTAAATCCTGACCACTAACTCAACTCCAATAAACCCTCAACACAAGGCCTTGAAACCCAAAGCCTGAGCCCCCAACACAAAGCCCCAAACCCGAAGCCCTAAACCCTTAAACCCCTCAACCCTAAACCCTAAGCCCCAAATCCTACCTAAACCCTAAGCCCTAAACCTTATAAGCCCCAACTCCTACACCTTAAAGGCATATGAACCGCGTCGGACAGATGTTGGGCATCCAGCTTGGTAACTCCATGGGAGCCATCTTCACCTGCGCCTCGGCAATCATATTCGTCCACCACTTACTTTACCGGTGCCTCATCTGGGTTGCAAGAACTTAAGTTAAGTTACCAACATATGGGTGATTATGGGTGATTAGTAAATATTAGGGTTTCCTTATTTTTGTAGCTTAATCTAAGTTTGCTTAAGGCAACCCAGTAACGGCACAGTGGGGGAGTAAATGTAGGTAGTACAATAGGGGCATATTATGGAGCCAAAGGGATAGTTGTAATTACTTCAGCACCGGTAGGTCAGTGGAAGGAGAGGAGAAACTGATGCGTATAGTAGTTCATTGACAATTCCTTTTGGCAGCCCCTAAACTGACTCCTTGACTCCCTGGTAACCACCAGTAAGAAGCAGGCATTGGAGCTCTAGTCTGAACTCTTTAGAGGGGTTATATCGGGGATTCTATTGGGGAGTAGTATGGGGCTTATGAAAGGGGATAATAGGAGTTCAGACTATGGCTCATATGCAGGGGTGTTTCAAGGATTGGGGTTTAAAGTGCGGGGCACTTCGCTCTTTTGTGATGGCTACGTGTGACCACATGTTGCGCTTGACCCGCGAGTCCCTTGGCCCACGTTTCTCTGCTGACTAGAACTTGTGACAGGTGGAGAAAATCAAGACAAACCAGCAACAGCCTAAACCAAGAAGGTTATCCCAGTTTTCACTGCGTTTTCCATTTTCTTGTCCATGTGATTCTCCATTACCAGTCGGCTCTAAGCACTGAACTCAGAAACCTGTGATTCAGCAGTCGGACAAAGGCCCGATAACAAAGAAAACAGACAACTAAACCCCTGAACGCCCCAAAACATCCTATACCCTAAGCCCTACATCCTAAACCCTAAACCCTACAGGCGTCATCTCGGTGGGAGTCAGCTTCTTCGGCTCTTGGGCTCTGGTTCCTTGTCCAGCCATAGGGTTTGGGGCTTAGTGCTTAGGTAGGCATTTAGGGTCTAGGGCTTAGGATTTAGGTCTTCATATTTAGGGTTTAGTATTTTAGGTAGGGATTTCGGGTCTAGGGCTTAGGATTTAGGTTGTAGTAATGAGGTTTTAGTATTTGTAGATTTCTACGGCCAGCAGGCAAGTCGTGATTGAACTGCTTGTTTTTGGCAATGTGGTTCTGCAGGACCAGAAGAAGGCTCCTAGAAAGTTCCATGCGTCCTGACCAATATTCAGTATAACGCCAGTAGACGTGGGCCTTGACTAGTGTTCTTTTCAGGACAGTATAAAGAATCATCATAAGCATATCGCATCTCTATGCCCACCCCACCCTTGATGTTCATATGGTAACCCTGTTACGTTGATCAAAGTAGTTTGCGTACAGGGGCGCTTGCTACCACAAATCTTCATACAGGGGAAGATGAAAGAGTTCTCTGTGCCCAAGATATGTTCTACCTAGTTAAGCAGCTGACATAGCAACGTCGGCTCACATTCAGCTTGAGCAAGGATGCTCACCACTGCGCTCATGGAGTGTTTGTTTTTTATGGCTTGGGGTTTCATCCGCTTCCCCTAATATTAAACCCTCCCACCCCGCCCTAATATTGAATCCTCCCGATGTATTATAGCATACCGCACTATGGGAGTATTTAATATTAGGGCGGGTGAGGGGGTTAATATGAGCGGATTACATGTTCCGGTTCAGAGTATCCATGAGGCTTCTTTTGGTGACAGTCAAGGCCTGGCAGAAGTCATCACGGATCTTTTGGGTTTAGGGTTCAGGGTTTATAGGGTATCCTTACGGAGATAGCTCTTCTTCGTGCTCTCGGCGGTACGGTCTGTAATGAGAAGATATTCCCCAACAAGGACCTTATAGATGGGGATGATGGGCCTTTTGGCCGCGTGATGTGCCTTAGGGCGGGAACCATGTAGCTATCAAATGAGTGTAATGGAGCTGCCCAAGCCCAAAAGTCCCTATAAACCCCCTGCAACCATGTAATTTTCCATGTTCCTTTTTCATTTGTTTCTTCATTGTTGGGCCCCATTTCACAATCTACAACTTCAAGGCTTTGATCCTGCTTGCCCTGATGCCAATCTGCGGCTTCCTCGGTTTAGCAGCACCTTGGCTACGTTGAAATCACTGTGCCCATATGAGGGTCTCGAAAGACGGGGGCCTTTCATTAGGAGCCCCTACAATTAATCAGGATTCACCATTAACGGGTGGGAGGTCCGCCTAAGCTAATTATAGATGCTCAAGACGCTGGGGTTGGGGTTATAGAGTTGAAGGATGCAGGTTCTTCTTCTTCCGCAGCTAACGCAACACCCAAACTCTACCTAGAGCTTTCTATGAGGTTGGTTCTTTGGGGTGCCAGCTTCTGCGAACGGCCGATCCTAGCGGCAAAGTCCGTTTCCCCACAGGGTCCGTTTATACAACTATTAGGGAATTAGGCCCCTACATACCATACTATAGAAGGAATTATGGGTCCCAATTCCCTAATGGTTGTATATGTGGACCCTCTGGATTCCCGTGACAAAGTACCTAATTAGTATTGGTAGGGTCGGGGCAAGCCTAGCGAACACCGAAGCTGCGACTGACCGGGTACCTGGACCCCAAAAGTATGCAAAATAACGGATTCTATGGCTATGTGTAGGGGTTTAGGGCTATTTTTTTGCATACTTTTGGGGTTTAGGTAGAACCTTTCAGCATTTTCATGTACGCTTTGTGGGGTACAGGGCCCTCTGGCATTTGAGGAGTAAATCTGGACTTTGAGTTTACTACTATAGTTATTTTTGACGGCACGAGCGTTTCGTAATACGCCTGCCTGGGCTGACCATAACATGATCCTCATAGCCCCCCCTGAAGAAGCCCAGTTGCCATTTCATGTTCCATTTCTGTTCCATGTGTTTGTCCCTCAGTTCAGGTAGACAGACATAAATAGGCCCCAAACCCCTTAACACCCCCTGAAGTGGAACACTTTGCCTGATATTAATGTAGGGGCCAAAATGAACACGTACATGATGGTCCTAAGTTCCGTTTCAAAGATTGCATTGAGTACTTCGCATAGACTTCAACACTGGCCCCTACAGTACTCACCTAGCCTTGCCATACACTCTTAGGTCGCCAACTGCGCCACCGCTGTGGATCCGGAGGGAGAGATGCATGGCTTACTTTTTGCGGGCTGGTATAAAGGGATTAGATAAGAGTTCAGAGTTTACGTCGGGTTTTCGGTCTAGGGCTCAGTTGATGAAGACCCCGTTACTCGAGAATCATGTGGAACACGCAAAATTGAATGGACAAGGGGGTCTGTGTTCGGGGCTCAGGAAACTACACGGAAGGGAGCATGGAAACGAGATTAGGTTTGGGGATCATACGCGGGCTACCATACGGTTTCGTTCCTTCATTCCCTACTAACAACCTGTAGACTAAACAAGCACCAACATTTGGGAGTTCCCAAAACAGGGGGACCCCAATATAGACCCCAAAATATTATAATCCTTATCGTAGGGACCCCCAAAATGGTACCCCTAGTTTAAGGAAACCTCTATTTGGGGCCACCCACATTTCTAAGTCGTGCCATTTTCACCTCCAGGGTTATACGATGGAACTGCAGGTTGTCAAATTTCTTGTTTCTCACAGTGCTACTTGCAGTAAGTGCAGGTGTGTTTGAATTCACTTTTTTCTGGCGGGAAGCGAGTGTGAAGGGTGTATACAGTTGGGGCATCCTGCTGTTTGCTGGGTATCGGCTTTTGCGTTTGCGTTGCGAAGCCGAGACTGTTCAGGGATGTTCGCGTGGAACGAGGTCAGGATGTGGCAGGGCCCCAGAAGGGTCCCCGCATGTCCGCATTGCTTGGCCGTGGCTTGAGATGTAGGTTGGCACAGCATGAACCCCTAAACCCTAAATCCCCAAACCTTAAACCCCTAAACCCTAAATCCCTACACCTAAAGCCCCTAAACCCTAAGACCTCTAAATTTGATCTTCAGCCCTGAAGTCCTGAACACACCCCTGTTTGAAGAACTTCGGCTACCTCCAAGTTACCTACAGCCTTAAGCTTCCAGGGTTTAGGGGTTTAGGGGTTTAGGGGTTTGAGGATTAAGGGTTTAGGGTTTAGACTCCCATCCACCACTGCCCAAAAGCGAAACGACCCCCATGTTGGACAGTGGAGTTTATGAAAATATTCCTTACATGACCCCTGATATAGACCCCCCCCCAGGGTTTCTCATAATCCCCCCTATATGTTCCTAGGGGTCCCTATAGTGTACCAAAATCTTGAGAAACTTTCAAATCCCTAATCGGACCAACCTGACCTCCACTCCTAAACCCGAAAAGGTAAACCCTAACCTCAAACCCTAAACCCTAAGCCCCCAACCCCAAACTTTGTGGGAACCCCATGGAGAAACTCCCACATTTCCATGCGAGCCCCAGGGAGGCCTACGGCAGGGCTGGAAAGCAGACGGCCGAGGCTCAGTTCTTCGGAGCTTTAGGTTTATAGTCCCCCTTAAGTAAATAGAATATGGCTTTGGGATTATTATTACAATAACATCCCCATATACCCCATATTCTATCTACTTAAGGGGGACTCTAGTCCCTGAACCCTAAACCCTAACCCCTTCAAAGACTGTGGTTTTTTTTCAGGGGCAAACCAAGAGGAACAGCGCAAAGGAAGTAACAGCGGGGGGCCTTCGTCTAATTTCGTCTGGGACGCCTTCCCCCCCCGGAACCTTTGACTAAGGGCCCCTGCTTCGTCTAAGGTTCGTGGCAAATTGCCTTGGTGACCTATTTCTGCTCCAACGGAAGACTTTTGATGGCCTCGGTTTGCAAATATCTTGTGGCCCTAGGACTAACCTGGACCCCAACAGTATGTAAAATAATAGCTCTGAACCCATAATAACAGCCATAAAGGCCATTATTTTACATACTTTTTGGGGTCCAGGAAGTTCGTCAAGCCCCTCTGCCTTCGATTAACTTCCTCTTGGCATCGTGCCTGGCCTCAGACTTCGTTCAAGTCTGGCCTATGTTCTTCCTGCGGGCGTTCCCCTTGGTTTTGCCTCTATTTATAGCCCGTTTCAAGGTTTTCTAGCCCCTGTTAGAAAGTCGTAGCCCCCTTTGAATTTGCCTTGGGGCTAGTAGGTAAAACGGGAATGTATCATGTAGGGGTTATATAGGGTACCTTATCCCCTCCTAACCACCAGCCACTAAAGGAGATAACCACATCTAGGCCTTATAAGCCTCTTCAAGCTGGTTTGCTGTTAAGGAACTTAAGCTAAGTTACTATTATAAGGAACCCCTCTTATTCACTACTACCGACCCCTCTTATGGTAATTTAATTTAAGTTCCTTAACAGCAACCCAGTACAGGGCCTAACGAGCTGCAACTGGAACTTCTTGTTACTTCTTGCATGGACATGGAAGTTCACTGCAATTGCGTTGACTTTTGGCACTTTTGCACAAAACATTTGTCTTACATTTCAGCCCCCTGAACTAGCATGCTATGATACGAACCTCTGCCCCGGCAAAAACCTTCAGCAAACGTCCTGGACGCGCCTTGGGTTTAATTAGGGTTTTATACAATTACTTAGAGTTTTGGGGGGCGGATTTGTTTGAGCGTGGGATGTGAAAAACAGGATTTAAGGTTGAAGGCTAATTAGGGTTCAAGATTTGAGGCTTATGCAGTTACTTTGGGTTTGGGAGCCAACTTGTGAGAGTGGGGTTTGAAAAGAAGAAATTGAGGTTGAAGGCTTAGAAATCTAGATTTAGGGCTTATGCAATTACTTAGGGCTTAGGGGTGCGCATGTTTGAGACTGGGACTTGACAAAAGGGTACAAGGTTGAAGGCTTAGAGTGATAGCTAATGTTTTGCAATCGCTTTTAGTTTGGGGGGCAAAGTATTGACAGTGGGATTTGACAAAAAGGGGTATAAGGTTGAAGGCTTAGGGTTCGAGATTCAGGATTTGTGCAATGAGTTGGACTTGTGAGAGTTGGACGTTACAATTCTGAAAACTCAGGAAGTGGGACCCAAAGTCATGGGTACTTCATATAGTCTTGAGGGTTTAGGTTTTGTGGCTGCGGATGTCTTGCATTTGGGGAGAAGATTGCTGCCTGTGATCCTGGGGGCTTAGCTTTGGAGGACAGCCATTGGGCCAGAAAAGCAAGAGGTCTAGAGTTCTCCAGCCCGCATGCCCTAAACCCTACGAAGCCCTATAACCCCAGCCAGAGTTAAAACAACACAAACGGACCTGTGGTCTGAATTTTGGGTCTTGATGCTTTCACTTTTTTCTACGCTTGGGCAACAGCCCTCGCCAACCTGCCAAGCCCCTGTCACCAGCCAAACCCCTAAACCCTAACCCCTAAACACCCATGTCCATGGAAACCTCCTGAAGTCTCAAAGTATCAGAAGGGACGTGTTGGTAAGGCCGTGCACCCTATTCCCATTCCACTACTTCGGCCACCCAGTCCGAAACCCTGAAACTCCACCGCAAAAGAAGCTTCCTGGCTAGGCTGCTACGGCGATCCGCACTGTGCGGGCACTTGGGGCAGCTGCTTGATAGAACGCAAGGGCCCGATTGCTAGGATTGATTAAGAGAAGGCCCCAAAATTAGGTACTTCCGCAGAGAATCCCGATTGGGACACTAGGATTCAGGGTTCACGGTTTACCAGGTTGACCTACGATTCCCTTCTAGAGGTCCCTTGGAAGAGGTCTGTCGTACTTGAGCGCCCCTAGGAGTCTGCCCTATTGTGACCAGATGAACCAAGAAACAAGGGACCTGAAGCTGCTGAATCTAATGTTATAATGGAAAAGAAAATGGAAACTACTATAGTATATCGGGGGCTATAGGGGAATAATGGAAAAGAAAAGGGGAACTACTGTAGTATATTGGGGGCTATATAGGGATAATGGAAAGGAAAAACACCCTAAACCCTAAAAGGGGAACTGTTATTAGACTTTTCGTCTTAGCGGCGTTCCCGGAGCCTGAGGAGGCAGGTTTAGCCTTGAGGGCCTGTGGATTGCAGGTTCATGTTTAAAGGGACTCTACTGAAAACCCCAAATAGGGAACCCTAAGAATATAGAAGGAATATAATGGAATATAAGGACCCTGATAGGTATATTCCTATTGTGAACCTCAGGCAAAATGCTGCGCCTCAGACGTAAGTCTGCCTCTGGCCATGTCATTCCAGCTATTTTGTTGCTACCTGGACCCCAAAAGTATGTAAAATAGTGGCCTTTATGGCTATTATTAGGGATTTAGGGCTATTATTTCACATACTTTTGGGGTTTAGCTACACCATTCCTGCTTTGGCGGTCATGACCCGGGTTTTGCGCATGGCCATGTACAGCTGCAATCCTTTTCATCTCACAACGTTTCTGTAGCAGCGGCTGCTTATAAACCCTATATATTCCCTATATATGATATAGTAGTTTCCATTTTCTTTTCCATTATCCCTATAGAACCATATATATATATACACCCCAATATATACCCTATATATAACCCCAATAATATACCCCAAAGCCCTCTGTAAAAATTGAGCCCCGAACCGTCTCACCTCCTCTTCTTTCGGAGCGCCATCCAAGGAAGAGGCCACCATGGACGTGCTGAGCGAAATCCTGGACTTCCTTACAGTGGTCAATGCTGCCGGGCAGAAATGTAAATAGGCTTTAGGTTTAGGGTTTTTTCGGGGTCCCTATAGTAAGGATAAGGATTATGGCATTTTGGGTCTACATTGAAGTCCCCCTGCGTCTGGGAATTGTCCAACAAGCATAGCAGACTTAGCGCTGACGGCTCAGGAAGCCTCCGAGGCTTTTTCGACTCCAGGGGTTTGCAAGCAAGATGTTTCGATCATTGAGTTGGAACTTCCCTACACCCTAAACTCTACACCTTTAACTGCAGTTTCCTGATAGTCTCGCACGCCATTTAGCGGAGGTCAAGAAATTCAGGTTCAGGGCACAGGGTGTAGAGTTTGAAGGGTTTAGGATGGATGTGAAGACGGACTCCCAGTTTGAGGAACACACCACCCTTTGGATGAGACCCGAGTCGGATTAGGGCGTGGGATACATGGAGTCAAGGAAACTCTTGGCACTACCTAGACCTCCGAAGTACCCAAAATAGCAGCCTTTTCACCCATTACCCTGCAACAAGGCTATTATTAACGGGTGGTCTCGCTAAGCGCTAAAGCTTGAAGAAATGAATCTGGGTGAAAGCCTCGAATTGCACGCAACCCTCCACCTCCCTGATATTTAATAATATGTTCCCAATATACGAGAGTACACCATATTTGGAAATGTCTACGTAGCATTCGTGGGGGTGGGGGTTTCAAAGTTAGGGCCGGGGATTATCAGGATTGTATTGGGAGGCATTCTGACTACACATTCCTTCATAGATGCAAAAAGCCGCCGTCTGTTTGCAGTTGGTACAGTTACCCCACATTCAGGTTCCCTTCAAAACAACCAAAATTACGTAGCAATGTGCTCGATGGGAGGGAATAAGATCCAGAACTCCCTTATAAAGGACCCTATGGCTCGAAAACTCACCCCATATGAGCTATAGTCTAAACTCCTTAAAGGAGGTTTATATAGGGGATTATATAGGGGAATATGATAGGGCTTATTAAGGGGGATACTAGGAGTTTAGACTATAGCTCATATGGTTTCTGACTGCCCGCTGCTGTCCGAGACCGGGAAAGCATGGAAGCTTGGTGTCTCCCTGGGCCTGAACATGCGCCTGAGCTTAATAGCTGAGTTTGGGGTTTAGGTTTTAGGGTGCCCAAACCAGGTACAGAGCTGAGGGTTTGGGGTGGTGTACAGCAACAAGTCTGCACGTTGTTGGCTTCAAAAGGAGAAAGAGGGCGCATGCCATTCTTGGATTGTGGTTGGACATCCACTTTCCCCAAAAACGCAAAGGACTGCAGGCTGTATAGATATCTCTTTTGGGTTCTGTGATAGTCTTGGGGCAGTTCAGGTTCATTGCCGGGCGACAGCCAGAGAGGGCACAACCCTATTTTTCTTCGTAATCACAGCAGTACGGCAAACTGACGGTCATGCAGGATTTTGCCCGTGAAAAGCATCCGACGCCCTTCCCAGGTGCTTGATCCAGGTCATTTATCTCGCAGGACGGCTTAGGGACATGAGGGTTTAATGTTGAGGCAAATTTAAATGGGTCTCAGGGTAGGGGAGGGAGTGTCAAAGCTGTAGGATTGAGGGCTTAAATCTCAGGATTGACTTAGGCTCTCAAGTACCCCATATCCAGCCTAAAAACCTACAAATACTTCCTACATATACCCTATTTCAGGGTACTTGGGGTCTGGGGAGAGAGCTGGGGTTTTTGTGTATTTTCAAAAACGAGCCTTACGTCAACCTCCCAAATACGCCCCACCATCATCTTTCTCCCCATGAGTTCCGGTTCTTTCTGTATTATACAGGGTTTTTGTTTTGGATAAAAGGCCTTGACTATGGGTATCAGTCCCTAAATAAGTCTGTTCAACACATATCTTGTTTCAAAGGCCTCTAGTATGCGTATCAGGGAGGTCTAGGCAGCTGCCAAGTCTTGCGAATCGCCTTGTCGAGCTCTTGAGGGTTCAGGGAGATGGCCAGTCTAACAAACTGTAGTTTCGGAGCATCACGAAGCCATGTGAAGCAAGAAGCCTTGAGTTCCTCCCCTGAAAGTAGCTGTCCCTAAAGGGGTCTTAGTCAGGGGCGATTATAACTCAGGAAGCTAAAGATGTTCAAGCCTGCAACTGTTTATCGCAGCACCCCATAGACATAGCGGTTTCTTACCATTCGGGGACCCGTTTCTGGGGTGACTCAGGATAAACCCGAACCCCTGAACCCGTCTAGATTTGGGCCCCGGTTTATGGACCCCTTCTCCAAATAGAGTCCATTCTGCCCTGAGCTTCCTCAAGTGGAGGCCTGAATGGGGGCTTCTCAGAAAGAGGCCCTAGTTATGACCCAGTTAAAAGCCCCCTTCACCCTATCTTAAACCCTGCACAAAGGGGGAATACTCACACCTGGCAGTTGACCCTCCAAGTAGGGTCTTAAAAGCCTGAAGCCTAAACTCTTCTGAATGATAACGTTCTCAACTCTAAGCCCTATACTCGTTTGAATGGGAGTTTGCTAAGACTGCGCGTTCTAGTGTCATGATTTGAAGCTTGGGTGGAGGCCTGGGACCCCGACCCTGAATCTGAGATGATGATAGGTGCCGGGCGGTGGGATCCAAACTTTTTGTGCAGGATCCAGACCCTAGACACGAAATCCAAAACCTCAAACTCCCGCAGGGTTTGGTATGAGCGCCGCTTGCATCCAGCAACTGCCTCAGAATCCAGCGGATTTGGTGGTTGTCAAGATTAAATTCTCATTGTAAGGGTCTTGCATTGTGGGTGCTATAGGGCCTGCAGGGGCCTGAACATTTGCCAACATCATTTTGAGGCTTGTTCGGGGTACCCAGTACCAAAGAGATACTAGGAACCTAGGACCATCATATTTGTAGTTCTTTCGACCCCGCAGTAGACCCTGCATTAGTACTAGAGGCGCCCGGCAGAATTCGGGAAACGACCATGAAAGGGGGGCGATTGTCAAAACTGATACCCAGAGAACGAAAATCAAATGGAACTCCGGTTGTATGGGGATACATCATGCAGGTTTTATGGAAGGTCGTCAAAAAGTTTTGTACTTGTACCCAAAATGTTGGGGGTTGTGTTAACTCGGGACCTAAACCCTAAAGACCCAAACCCTAAACCTGATACCCTAAAACACCATGTCATGTTGACAACCTCTCCACTTCAAGACATGCCCGCCCACCCAGGTATTGGGGCTTCGACGCTTATGAGGTGTTGCTCACACTCTTCTGCGTCGTCTTCGGCGTGATGCAAATGTGCTGAACGAGAAGGTTTTCGGGTGTAGGGTGTAGGAACTCCATAGGATTTAGGGCTTAGGGAATCCCATACACCCCATGTATTCCCTAAGTAGTCCTGGGGTCCCTGAGCACCCCCACCGCTTTTTTTGAGAGACCTCCTACACCAGAAGTTTTTGATCTTCATTAGGGACCAGCAGTCAAGTTATTGAGGGGGTTGTCGCCTTGTATTGCCTTGCCATCATTTTTGGTAAGACTGGTGCTACTAGTGCCTGCCGGGATCAGTCCCCCAATCTTGACAGCCTGGGTGCTCAAAATGGCTTGAAGCAAATATCTAAAGCATTTCCGATGTCGAAACCGCCCACTAAAAGTGGATGGATGGCTCTCCTTAGACAGAGTATATGATGTCGTCTTCTTCATTGAGGCTTTAGACCCAACATGTAGATTCCATGAGCTTTCTATTCAACTTCGAAACTGACGATCCTAGATAACCCTTAGCCCAAGCTTGGGGATGTCTCGCACCCTTGACTGCATTCAACAAAACATCCGGAAACATTCTCTTTGGCCCTTAAGGCCTAGCAGGAGCAGAAACTTAAGAATGCAGACTGCCCTAAACCCTCATAAACCCTAAACCCCTATGCAGAGTACCCTGAACCCTAGCCCTTAAGTGCTCAACGGTTAAGTTTTAGGGTCCGTAGACTAAACCTCTGATTCGCATCCCCAAACTCTAGACCTCGACCCTGAACCCTAATCCCTAAATCCTATGTTTTCTTACGAACTGTATCTCTGAGGTCGATAAGCTCCATCGTCCAGTTCATCCCGGACCAGGCCTCCGGGCACCACGCTGCCGTGGAGGTTTTCCGCCTCATCGACCAGGCCGAAGGGCTCAGGGTTTAGGGTTCAGGGTTTAGGGTTTGTGGTGGTCTCCTTGAGAAAGCTTAGAAGAGGCATAGAATAGCCTGAGTAAGGGATACCATACATTGCCTAACTCCAGGGTGCTCCCAAGTAGGGTTTAGGGCTCAGTGCAGGGAGTTTCAGGTAGAACTACCCATGTAGGGTGGCTCCGAAACCTTTTCTTACCCCGAAACCCTAAACCCTAATCTGATGCCTGATGAACTATCTTACCCCGAGACCCTACATTCAATTCTGTACTCAGAGAGTCTGGGGACACGCATTGCATGATTCACCAGCACCAGACCGCAGGTTCTTGCTAGTATGGGGGCTTCTCAGAAAACAGGTTCCCCGTACGAAGAATCTCGATAGACTTGGTTGATATACAGATTTGTGTGATGCATTAAGGAAGCACGTAATTTGGGAAGCTCTCTCAAGTCACTAAATGCACTTTTGCTTGATAGTTGTTAGCCAGTCTGCAAAATCCTAAGCCCTACAATAACCTAAACCCTGAACCCTAAACCTAGACCCTAAACCCCAAACCCTAAACCACCTACCCTAAGCACTAGGCTTGGGGTCTGCTCTTTCATATTTGGCTGGCCTTCGGCAGGCTGTCAGACTCTTCAATTGATATTTGTGGCTTCAGGGTTTAGGGCTGAGGTGCACGCTGAAAGGCGCTGGATCCTTCTTTTGGGTGGAGAGGGACTGCATATTGGAGATCTGATCCGATACTGTTAAGGTTAAGTATGGAGCGTCTCAGTTGGAGAACTCTCATGTCAACGCCTGCTGCCGTGGGCATGAAGAGGGATCCTCGAACAATTCCCCATGACAAGCAGGTGTCCTAAAAGAACCTGGGAGATATGCCAGTTTTCCATAAACAGGAGGTACCCCAATATTATAGACCCCCAAATCCTACAAGTCTTATGCAGGACACCCGCAACAAGGATTGAAGCACTGAGCGCGGCAGTCAAGCCAAGCTCAAGTAAGCAGTAAGTATTATTGGGGATAATGGATTGGGGGTAATGGAAATAAGAAGAATGGAAGCTACTACATAGTACATTGGGGTTATATAAGGGTAATGGAAGAGAGAGTGGAAACTACTATATAGAACATCGGGGTTATGTAAGGATAATGGAAACAAAAATGAAATTTACTATTTAGGCTTGAGGGCGGATAGCAGCAAGACAGCGGCCAGGTGGTTGTCAATGGGGCTTTGTATCGCGCTTGCACGCCCAAAGGCTGGTAAGTACCCGGTTCATGGTTTTGATGGTTTAGGGTTTAGGGAAAACTTGCCCAAAGCCTGAGGGAAGTTCCTGCTACAAAAACCATGCTTTCTAATATCTACTTGTAGGTACTGTGCACCCTTCGGCACACTGACCCGTAAATGCTCGACGGGGCGGGAACCGTGCCTGCAGCGCCATGCTTGTGCCGAAACCCTAAACCCTAAACCGTAAACCGTGTGGAACAGGTCTCAAAGATCGACGCTGTGGAGCCTGCGGGGCACATCGAGACCATCGGAGATGGGAACATCCAGTTCAAGGACTGCTATACAGGTCTCCTTAGATTGTAGGGTATACAGTTATATGTCCCCCTATGGCTACTATTAGTATTACTATTGTATAAATCTGTTTTTACAAAGGGTTTAGGGCATATGCTCACACACAGGGGTGAATTGCGTTCTCTAGTGGAAAAGAGGTTTTGGCTTCAACAAATTGATGTCAAGCTCTCGAATCAGGGCTGCCAAGGCCACAGCAGACAAGTCTTCGATTGTTGTTGGGAGGAGAACGGAATAAAACACCAATTAATATACCCCATTATTATAACGTAGTAGTTTCCATTTTCTTTTCCATTATCCCTATACATTATAACCCAATATTTTCCCTCATTCCCTAGAAAGGGTAGGGGCGGCTCTTTCCGGTGTAGGGGCGTAGGGTTGAGTGGGACGCTTGCATTTGGACATGCTCTCCGCCATCCTGACAGGGGACTTTGCTAACTTCATCAGGCTGCGGCCGGCTTCGGCACCAGTTTTGCTTCCAAGGGATTCTATTCTATAGGGGAGTTGTATTGGGGTTACTAAGGGGGATACTAGGAGTTTGGGCCATAGTTCATAATGACTTCCAAGTTACGACCAGGTCATGCCCTGTAGTCCCGCATTACAACTGTTAGAGATTAGGGTTTAGGGTTCCAGGGTGACTGTCAGAGATTTCTACGGCGATCCTAAGGTGCGGCTTACTTCGAGGTTTAGGGTAGGTATAACCCAAAAGTATTTGCTGTTTGTTGTGCCCCACCTGTAACCATAATTAGAGGTTGACATTTATAACCCAATTTAAACCATATGTGGAGACCTAGTTAGCCTTTCATTGGGTTGTAAGTGTTCATTATTTATATGGCCCTTTTCCGCATATAATTACTCTAAGCCCCCCAGTGTTGGGCGGACTTAACCCTAATGGGAACCTCAAATCAGGGAATCACAAGAATATAGTAGACATGTATAGTCCCCCTTAAGTAGATAGGATATGGGGCATCCAAAACGTCTGGAGGACGTGCACTTCTGGTACCCACATCGTCCGGAGGCCGGTCCATGAGAAGAATCCTTTGTACTGATAGTGAAGCACTCCGCCAAAAAGGTTTGTATTGCGTAGGGTTATATGAGGGAATGGAGAAGACCATGGAAATTGCCATATTATGTAGGGTTTAGTACTGAGAGTTCGGGCTCGATACGCCCGCACTCCAAATCCTAACTAATGATTCTCCATAAGACACCTCAAGCACTGGGGACCATATTTGATAAGTGAAGGGGGTGTTTGATATTCGTGAAGGGATGAAGAGGTCATCGGCCTTTGGTCTCTCTTAGGTATACCTAAACCCTCAAACACTAATCCCCGATCCCTCATCCAATGCAGTGAATGATGGATCATGCTAGCGCTTTCGGGCCGTCACAAGTGAGCCATAGTCTAAACTCCTAGTATCTCCCTTAATAACCCCTAGGCTAGTCCCTTATATATCCCCGTATATATCCTGCCTTGAAGGAGTTTAGATTATAGCTCAAGCCGCCTTTTAAATGGCCCGGCGTAGTGGGCTCCTGTTCTTGAACTGGCCCTGCAAGCGGCAGACCATTGTCCCTAAACCCTAAACCCTAAGTCCCTAAACCTTAAGTCCCTAGTCCCTAAGCCCCTAAACCGTGAGCCCCTAAACCCTAAACCCTGGTCCCGAAGCCCTAAACCCCAGTACCCCAAACCCTAAACCCTAGCCCCTAAACCCTAATCCCCTAGCCCCTACCCCCAACCCTAGCCCCCAAAGCCTAAACCCTAGTCCCCAGCCCCTAACCCCTACACTATGATTTTCGGCTGCATCTGGGAGTGTACAGTTGACGTAAATTGGTGAATAGAAGTTTGACAACCTTTGGGACAACGGCGTCTTGGGTCATAGCGTTGGGGTTTAGGGTTAAGGGCTTAGCGTTTACGGTTTGTGCTTTAGGGTTTGGGATTCAGGGTTTGGGGTGGAGTCTTAGTTGCGGGGACGGTTTGTCACATATTCAGAAGTAGGGGCGTGCATTGTTCGCCAGAACAGTCTGTCACTTGAACAAGGCTTCTGCTCAACATGGGTTTAGTGAGCTATCGACCAATGCCCTAAGTTTGAAAAGCCCCCTAAACCCTCAAACCCTAGGCCCCATAATTGTAAACCCCCAAACCCCTGTACCAGGAGAAATTACAATACCAGTCCGAGACCTCAATACCCTGAACCCATGTATCCCTATGCAATTTAGGATTATGACCGGGAGTAGTGGCCTTCATATTGGGTGAAAACCGATCAGGGGCACATAGGGATCGTACCGGCATTGGGGGTTTAGGGTTTATAGGGTTGTGTGGATATTATCCCTAAGAATGGAAAATCAAATGCCAAAAAAGGAAAGCGAAATGGAAACTGGCGCTTTATAGTGATTTATAGGGATTAGGGTATATGAAGTAAGGCTTTTGTGATGGTATTTGGTGAGTGCAAGGGTTCCTGTATATATTAGGTCTCCAAATGAGTGGAATGGGTTGCCAACAAATAAAAGCCATGGGTACCCTTGAATTGAAAGGGGATTCCGTAAACATTGCATTTCAAAAGACTTTTGGGCCTGGTGCACCAAACTACAAACAGCATCATGTATTCATGGCGCCCCAAATCGGACACCACACGCATACACTCATCAATGTTCCGAAAAAGCCCTATATTCACACACACACACACACACACACACCCGCCCGCGCACGCACACACGCGCACACACACACCAGATACCAGGTCAAAGCCTGTTGTGAGGAGGTCTTTGTTCTGTGGTCTCTTGTACCTGTTG